GGTTGGTTGCGCGAAACGACATCGATAAATACACGCAAGAGTCTTGTATACACCCGCGCGCGCGCGCGCAAGAGCGCGGCCGACAATAATTCGCGCACAAAGAAAATCGAGATTAAGTAATTAAATTGCAAAGCGCAACGAAATTAGTTCCGCGGAGCGTTTCGCGATTCTCCTTGCCGTGTTATTTTCTCCCGAGATACTTGATCATTCATGCGACGCTGCAATCTCACGTCGGTATCTGGTGCGCTGCGAAATGCAAATGCGCATTCCTGCGCTGCCGCCGTCGCCGCCGCGCGCACTGCATTTCACGGTGCATTAGAAAGTGGCGGTTTTCAAACGGGCAGTTAACACACGTACGCTTCCACGCGCGTGCACGCGTCGTCAGTTCCTCTCGTTAGCCGAGGCGCGTAAACACGCGCGCGCGTCCAACTCGATTATCGCAAACTCGACCGATTGCGTAACGCTTGCTGCACTCATTTGTTTTTTTTTCTTTTTTTATTTTTTCGTTGTTTGTATTACCGTCAATTGCGCTGTGTGTTTGTAAATCGTCTTCCTAGGGTGAATCGGAATCCCGCAATCGAGTCTCACTCTCGTATGAGCCGCGAGATTGCGTATCTAAAAATAAACACGATGAATCAACACAGCGGGAAAATCAATGGGTGAGATCGGCTTTATCTCGCTGGAACATTTAATCTTGAATCACCGGCGCAATTAACGCGCGCGATGAATCGTTTTCTCCTTAGCGAGATAAGAAGAAGAGGCGGTAAAGTTCAAACTGTTACACGCGCGCGACTGAATGAAAAACGCGTCATTCCGCGAAAAAAAAACGAGGCAGCGCGATTATACTAACCGCTGATTCGATCATTTACAATTCACGTCTTGTCGCGCATGGTCGAGGGATAATCAGAAAATCGTTAGAGTTGTTACACACGTACACATATTGTATACGTGTATAACAACAGTATATATATATATACATATTGTGTGTTGTATATTGATAACCGTGCTCGGATTATAAGTTTATCGGTCAACGACGTTTTTTTTACGTCTCTTTCTCTTTCCTTCTCGGTTGCAGTTCAGCTTGTTTTCCCGTGCACGTCGGTCGTTCGTATATTTAACGGCTCGTTTGTCAGACAATCAAGAGAGATATATGTCGAAGATATATTCGCAAAATTTGATAGACACACGTCGGTCTCGTTGCAATATTACCGTATCAAAAGAGACAGAGCAGAGAGCTCTTTAATACCGGTGCTGTTTAAGTTGCATAATGAAGTTCCTGGTGAAGTACTACGACTTCCTGAACGTCAAGTTCTCCACGGTGAGATTTTCAAGCAGCGCAGTTGCATATTATATATATGTTTTCATTTCGAAGCATTTAGCAGAACGAAAGCGAGTTTTCGAATGCATACGTGTCAAAAGACTCTAACAAAGATTGTTGCAACATACACATGTGTCAAGAATCACGAAGTATCATATTTCACGAATTAAAAGAGCAAGAAACTGGTATTTAATTTATTCGCAAAAAGATAACATCTTTGTAATTATTATGCATCAAGTATATTTTATCACAAGTCAGAAAATATCTATTTATAGATTTTTTATTTGTAATTACAAAACGCAACATCTAGTTGTCAGCGATTGTCAACAATTTTCAAAGTCGTAGGAAAAGTTATAGCAAATCTTAAAATCTCGTTGCACGATGAACGGAAACAATTTGTAATATTATTATTATTAACCTTTAAATTATCGTGCAACGAAAACGGGTAAACTGTGTTGTTAGAATGTCGTCTAGCACTAACTGAAATTCCGAGAAGATGTAAATGAAACTTGCTCACATATCATTCTGTGAAAAAAACAAGAATAAAATTGTTTCTGTTGAAAAACAAAATGATTAACTAAAATAGTAGCTTTTGTGTGTGCGCGTAAAGTGATGTAGCTCCGAAAGCGATAAAGAAATTTTAATCCATCGCCACTTTTTCATTATCGTCTATCTTATTAAATCCTCGTTTTACCTAAATATCTTGTATAATTGGCAACTTCATGTTTTTTGTGAGATTTCTTTTCACATTAAGTATAACTTGTTTTTTCTTTTATCGGCCACACGAGAGAAGAAACAGTCGGAAATAACGATCCGCCTTGGATCTTAAATTACGAAGATTGACAGCCCCAGCAGTATCGATAATTGCGTACAAGAGCGCGCCTTATCGCGCCGCGCGCGTCGTCCGATAATGGAACCGGCTCGCGAAATCCCCGACGACCTTTTAGATATGCACGCCTCTGCATGAAAGAATGGCATTATGCGCATTCCGCGGTGTACGCAGCAACCGCAAAGAGCGATGCATCTGCCGCGCTGAGGTCGCGCGTTATCGCACTATTTATCATACGCTCTCTCTTTCTCTCGTTCTCTCGCGCTTCCGTTCGTCGCGATAATTGGATTTCTCTGAAACGTATCGCGCAAGCGACTTGTGAAAAATTCGGCGACCTTTTTCTTCGATATTATCGGAATCCCCGAGATCCCCTTGTGATATACACCTTATCGAATGGAAGGAGGAATCATTTGTGATTTGTCGCTCCTCAAGGATGTGTATACACAAAGCAAAATCCTACGCGCATATATATCGATTATCTAAACCTTTGTCGATTATTGAAGAAAAAGAGAAATGCGCAAAGAGAGTTTGTTTTTAATCCTTATTAATAATTAAAATCTAACAATGACATTTTGGAAAAGAACACCACAAAGTAGGCACACAACTTTTAAAAAGTCATCATTAGATTTAATTCATTAGAGTTACATTTAATTAATTTCTTCCCGTTTGTCTGTAACAACATGCTTCACATACAAACGATATCGATGTTATCTAAGACTCGAAATAGTTTGTTTAAATCACGATAAGTATAATAATACACACGGAAGCGATTACGACACATAATTCATCGAACATCATCTCGATGACTCACAGAAGGAACCACAAATCACTTAACGTTCCGCGATCGATAATAAAGATGCTACAATTGTTCGCTGACGTAACGTTTTTATCGGGCACGAGAAGTCGGAAGAAGTTTATTAGCGCGCGATTCTTTATTGATGTCGATGACACATTTAAATGCGGTTATTTGCTGACGTTTCTTCGTGTATAATCTTCTCGTAAACTCGCGTCGTCACGCGACACTATATTGCCGCGTTTTGCAAAATCGTCGAAAACTCGCAAGGGGCGCGATTCATCCTCTTGTTATTCGGTCGAATTGCGCAAATGTGGATTTTGCAGAAATTAAGGCGAGTTCGCGCGGACGCAAAAAAGACTCAAAAAGTTTCGTAACCGTACGTGTCGCGTTCCGTCAAAGTCCATTGACACGACATTTTTATTACCGCGCGTGAACAAGCAGCGTCACGTTTTATTGCCGTTTAAAAGCACATACGTTTCGCGTGTACGCTAAAATATATATATATATATATATATATATATAATCGTTGTGCTTTAGTGTCATCTTGCGCAGCTGTGTTTGTATATCTTTTATGTAAAACGAACGTTGTAACGAACGTTACACATTTCATATAATATATATATATACAAAGCACAACGATAAAAAACTGATTATGTAGAATAATGGATACGTAACACGTTTTCTGAAAGCATGTGCGTGTTCGAAGGCGCAGTAAAAGTGCGATTATCGCTAAATGCGCCGTTTTGAGTTTACCGAGTTAATTGCTCGAGAAAAATACATTCACCGAGAGAATGTTAAAAAAAAGGAGAGAGTGTAGTTGCTCGTAAATTATATTCGTGTAATTCAAACTCGCTTCGCTCTTATTGTTTTTTTATGGAACGGATAGATATCGCGATCACGATATTGAGCGAGCGCGCGATGCTTCTTTTTTGCCTCTATTTTCGAAATCCGCAAGTGCTTTCGTTGCCAGCCAAGCTGGCAAGATGAGGTGAGAGACTAATTCTCTGTAACAGGGGGACAAAGAGCGACCACAAAAGCCCAATGGGGCTCTATCAGCCTGCCGCAGTAGAGTGCAGCGACACGTCAATGTAATTTGTCAGTCGTTGCACTTTGCGCGCTTGATCGTCGCGAATTCCTCGTTGTAAATCATCTTTTGTTTAACAATTTCTCCACGCTGTGTGAGAAACACTTCTTAAAAATACTAAGAAACATCGATCAAAAATGTAATCCTCTTATATATAGAAAAAAAAAACGTGACTAAAGTAAAGTCACGTGACAAGAAAGAGTAGAAAAACAACACGTGACTAAAGAAACGTGATTGTAATTTATATTATATATAACATTAAATAATATATATTATACATATAATTTATTATATATTCAATATTATATTATATTATATGTATTATATACACACTACAGTAAGGTCACTGATCTCGGTCGCGTGACTGCGTCGAGGTCACTGACCCGGCCGCGCGACCTTGGCGGGGTCACTGACCTCGGTCGCGCGACCGTGGCGTGACCTGACTTGGTCACGTGATTACGATGTGTGTGTGTGTGTGTGTGTGTGTGTGTGTGTATTATATCGATATAGAATATTATATATAATATATATAATATTCTCTTTTTTACTCTTTTTCTTGTCACGAGACTTTAGTTATGGTGTTTTTCTACTTCTCCCTGTTATTATTTTTCGAGTTTTTTGCAATTTTGCATTTCATGCGTTATTTCTGACATCTTTCATATGTATATTATATGGTTTGTAAGACGTATATATTAGATGTCTCGCGATATGACAGGTTGTGCCCACTGACACTACACGTTCAAAAAAAAAAAATAATAGCGCGCGCTTGTGTTGTGCTAGTATCTTAAAATAAAAAAATGCGAAGCGCATTTTTTTTTTGACAAAAATGCAAGAATCAGAAATTGTAGCCGCGGATCGCGACGTACGTTTTTATTTTCGCAAAACACTCGAGCGCAGAATACGAAAGATACATATTTACACAAAGTTGTGATTTATGCAAATTATTCACTTGATTTTTTATTCTGACTTGCAGGTGAGTAGGCGATCCAAAGAGCGTGTGACACAAGAGAAGGGAAGGGTGAGTCAATTTGAGTTTGTTGCCGCTAAGAAAACTCTTAGTTGTTCTAACCTTACAGCAGAGCGCGCGCGCGCGCGCGCGCGATGACGCGGAGAGAAATCTGTACACACACGACTCTATCCTTCGACATCAACCGCGAACATCGTGTACGAGAAGCGACAGCTTCCACCCACGTGGCGGGGAAACTTGTCGATACACACCGACAAGTCCGTTCGATTAGCATGCACGTCGCGTCACCGTCGAACAGGAAGGGCGGTTTAATAACACGGCGTAGGACAGTTCGCATCCGCCACGTACGTACGCGGAATACCGTCCGGATACGCGTGCGACGACGGACAATTTTTGCGACGCGCCGTTGTAACGTTGTTACGTCGCGTCGGCGCTTGAATATACGCACGAAAAGAGAAACCGCCTTCCGTCAACGCGCTGATGCGTACGCGCGCGCGTACGCACACTTGCGACGTGCAAATCTTCATTTTGTTACTTATTGCGGGATTTATTGCGTTCCGCGCGGAGAGAAATCGTTCCGAAAACAAAAAAAAAAAATGTTTGGTGTTTTTGCACCAAAACAAGCTTCTTTCGTAGAAATGTTTATTTTTATCTTTCACAAAAAAGGATAGTTACATTCGAGACACCTTTAAATCGGAACACAAATAAGTGGTTTCAGAGGAATTATCCGACCAACAGAGAAAGTAACTAACTTTATTATCGCGCTCCCCCGGTAATTTCGTTCTTCTTTAGATTACTTTTTCTCGACGTTGAATAACCATAAAACTTTTCTTCTTCCTTACGAGAGCCTTGCGCTCGCGCGACGAAGTAATCTTACTCCAATTTGCGATACAGATCAAGTTGTGTGAGGCGAAGAGGAGATGGGGGGAAGCGCTCTCCGCGAGCGAAGATTAATTGAAGCGAAACGAAGACTCGCGCGCGCGCGAAGCGAGGTATCAACGCACGTACAAAATACACATGAGAGATTGGAGGAGAAGTTACAAGCGCGTCTACGATCTCTAGGTGAGGTGTGAGATGCAAATCGCGATAGAAAACAGGAATGCGCGCACGCGCGATATCTTCGCGCGATGATATCAGAGATTTATCAAAGTTGAGAAAAAGGAAAAAAAAACCGCGTCCTTCGGGGCGCGGCGTCGGTGCTGACGCGTCTAAAGCCGCGCTCGTCAATTGTGTGAGCAAGTAGGTCAGAATAATCCACGGCGGATTTCGTCGAAATGCGAGCGCGATTTTTAACGTCGCGCAACTTGATATTCTCTCGGCGCGCGAAACGCCGTTGATAGATTCGCTTTTTTATACTTCGCGCGAGTCGCATCCGTTTTGTTCGGCACCACTCCATCACTGTCGATCACGCAAGTCTCGGTCGTTCGCGAATTTCCGCGAAAGTCTCTTCCGCAAGCGAATGCTAATTAACGCGCAACGTGTCCGGCATATGTTAATTATTACTGAGATATCTTTTCGGTAATATGATGAAGAAAATGCGTGTACGTGATTCGTTAACTGCGCGCTGCAAAAATCTCGGGATTCTTACGATCGAGCGATTATAAATAGCGCCGGCGATTCGAGCCCGGCGATGTTTGATCAGTTGTGTTTAAAAAAAAAAAAAAAGTTCCAGCGTCGATGAGACAGCGCCATCGGCGAAGTCTCTCATTATAAACCGTCTTGTCGAAGGTGTCTCGTTAGACGATAACACGACGATAATGCTCGCTTCCTCACTTTCACTGTTTCTAATTGTCGCGTTCGCAATAAACAAGCGCGCCGGCAAATTTTTCTTAATTGCAATCGCGCGTAATGATCATCGCGCGTAGCCGGCCGAGTGTTTCGATTTCGTTTGCACGCCGCTTTCACGGATTCATAGGTGTGTTTCGACCGCAAAAAGAACGCTAATACGAGAAAAAAAAAGCGCGCCACGCTTTTACGTTTCTTTTGTGAGAGAAGGAACACGTATACAACAGACGCGCTAAACTCGGGGGTTTCAACTCGCGCGTCTGAAACGTTCCGGTGAGGCGTGTCGAGAGAGCAGAGAATGGCGTTGTGCGACGTTATCTTAACATCATTAATTAACGAGGGTTAATGGCACCGTGACCCGCGCGCCAGCCACGTGCACACCTGGAATAGGTAAAGTGGAAACAGGTCGGTGCTTATATACCGGGAATGATTTCGCAGAGTGGTTGGTCTCTCTTTCCTCTCTCTCTCTCTCTCGAATGCGAATTAATTACACACTCAGACGGACTTAAGCCGGTGGGATATGCAAACTGTCTCGCGACTCATCGAAATACCGGTGCGAGATACTGATGTCAAGTGAAAGAGAACAGAGGATGTATCTCGAGCGATATATCTCTGAGATTCAACAGGAAATTCCATATTGATGTACATATGCATTTTGTTAGAGAATATTCGTCGCGAATTCCGATATAAAACAATTGTTATAAACTCGATTGACGTTTGAGATGGGAATCGACTTCGTCGGAAAACGAATATGTGTCTCGTCAATCTCTCGGACGGGAGTAAAAATGGATTTGAGAAGAATATGAAGTCTTTTTTTTTTTAGTTTTTTATTTTTAATGCGAGATCGCGATTTGGTTCTGCGACGCAAAAAAAAATCCTGATTTGGTTTCCGACGGAGCGCCGGTATCTCGTTGCGATTTTTCCTCACGTTCGCGCGCGCTGCGTCAGTTGTGCCCGCGCGCGCGCGCGCGCTTGTTAACGATTTAACGAGCGCGGGTGCGTTTTGCAAGTAAGCCGCGTTCTGAATGGCAGGCCGCGCGCGTTCCGCTCGTATAAATCCACTAGTTAGCTGCAAATTCACGTTGATTGGACGTACGTAGCGTGCAACGCTAGGATTATACAGCCTTGAAGCTTAATGAAATTTACAAGTTCAATCTCGGACGCGAGAGATGTGCGCATCGCGCAAAACCGCACCGCGCATAAACGTGCCGCGCGTTTATTTGGATATCTCTGCTACGGTTTCTCCTTTTTTTTTCCTCTTCTCTCTCTCTCTCTCTCCGCACGCGTATGTTTCCGCGAGAGAAAGAAAGAGCGCGCGTGATGGATTCTCAAGGCCGATGACGAATCGCATTTTCTTGTTTGAGGTTTTTGCGACGCGCGGCGTATTTGTTTTCAACGTAGTTGGGGGGGGGGGGGGGAATAAAGAGGATAAGAAAAACCGCGCGCGATTTACTTCGCGCGCGTCGCGTCGCGTCGCTTTTCTCTCTTTCTCCTCGAGCGAACGATAAACCCTCGACAAAGGGTTAACGGCTTAAAAGTGGCGGCCGTTGTTGATAACAAGGCCGTTGCTTCGGAACATATTGACGATGAATCACGGCCGGCTTTCGCGCATATAATAGGATGAAGTCCCGCGGATCTCCGTGCCATTATTACCTTCCCGCGTACACATTGTGACGGGTGGTGTAGTGGTGATTTGGTGGAGCGCGTGGGCGAGCGCGCGGCAATTCGCGAATCTCGCGTGGGCGCGCCGAGCGGATGCAAAATTAATCGTTCGCAAATGCGAAAGCTCTCCACATGCGTATATATATATATATATAGCTCTCGCATTTTAGTCGCGATCGCATCGCGAATTAAGCTGAGCTTTGCATTGCGCGCGTGCCGACGACGCTCACACAATCGGGTTTTCAACAGTCAAACAGTCCATTTCCCGTTCTTCTATTCAGCACGCGGACCATTCAACGCGCGGATCGTGATTCGCCTTTTAAACGCGCGCAAATTGGTAATGAAATATATAAAGAAGCAAATTATCAGCTAGAGTTCCTTTTCACGTGGCGATGGGAATTTTATCGCTCGGTTAATTAAACGTTTTTCGTTTTATCTGCCGAATATGTATGTATACCGAGGAAATTTTTAATTGAATTCACACTCGCAAGAGAAAAGGGGTCGATGAGAAAGAGAGAAGCCGTGAGAATTTCTGAGAGAATCGGGGAATCGCGATATATTCCGTTGTGTGTATTATAGCAAGCGCGAAATAATCGCGCAATATGCTCGCGCGCGCGGCGATGTATCGCGGAGACGAGAGGAGAGAGAGGAAAAGAAAGGATACGCGCGCGCGCGCGCGCGCGCAAGAGTCCAACGATTTCTCCTCTGGTGGTCTCTTCGCGCGCATCGCGCAGTTCGCGTTTTGAGAACCTTCGCAAATCTCTCGAGTGGGCGCTAAACGTGTTTGCTTTACCTGATGCACCGACACGCGCGTTTATATGTACACACGACGAGCGGTAATACGCGTCTAAGAAGTGCCACAAAGTACCGGGTCGTCACACTTTCGCGCATGTCGAAGGCGCGTTTTTAACCGACGGAGGGACTTTTTTCGCAGACGGCGAGACCTTCGAATGCGCGCGACTTTTTACGCGCGCTCGCACCAAGTACCGAAGTACTTCGTTTCTCTCGCGCGAAATAACACGTGACGCACGCACAGACGCACACAGGAGGTTTAATGTAGCGGCAATAATGACGGTGCGTTTACGCGCGCGATGCAAAAGATTTATAATAATAATTATTATTACGACAAGACGTAGAATTTTTCTCTACAAAGTATAGGTATAGCGGAGAAAAATCGTAAAAAAAAAAAAATGATCATCGCTACTCTCTTTGGCACGGAATGCGTGATTAATCAATTTCCGTTCTTCGAGGACGATCGATCAATCATTGACGTATCGACCGACGAGAGAGAGAGAGAGAGAGAGAAGACGACGAGATTGCATTGCATCCGATTTGCGTGCGTTTATTCCGACAAAAATTAAGATTTTCAAGGACAAGGCGTCATTGAGCGTCTATTTTTGAACCACGCGATTATTATAACGTGTGGACGCGGTTTGCGATCGCGACGCGACGAGCCTTTGTTGTCGCGTCGATGATGCGGTGGACGGGGAGTCGCGTCGCTTTGATCGCCCTTCGTGATCAGCAAGGTGTTAAATCCTTTTCCAGGGAACAGCTGGCGTGTTCATAACGGGGGTTTGCGCTTTTGCGTCAGACGCGACGAGAGA